ACGCAGTTGGAAGATCGTTCTGCAAAGTCATCCTAAAATGTGTGTTGACTTACAGCAGCACAATATGCTGGAGTCACAGCCTTCCGTTATTTATGAACCACATTTAATCATGAAACTTGAAAATGTGCCAAACTATTTGGAAAGGATGAAAAAAAAACGCACAAACAAAACTGGCAAAAACGAAGTTATATAATACACTTTTTCTAGAGGAACTGTGTGGGATTTGTTTTGAACGTTAAAAGTAAATAAAAGAAAATACCTCAAATGTGATCTTTGTATTTCAACAGAATTATTTAAAGTATGAAAAGACACTTTGTAGGTTTAGTTATGTAGATAACTCCAAAGTGTAAGTCAAAAGGATGTAAAATAAAAAGGTAGAAAGGAGCAAAGTTGACTCACAAGTCTCTGGAGATACAGCTGGTCAGAGTCCCCAGGCTCCTGGAGGGCTTGATTCTGCGATGTGAGGGGCCGGACTGGGGGCCATCACGAGTGGAGGGTCTGCAGGAGAGCCTGGGCAGCTGCAGGGTGCCTGAGCAGAGCCTCTTCACAGCACATCTCACCTCAGGGTCCTGGAGGAGCTCTGTGCCGGGGTCCTGCTCCGAAGAGTCCCACTGTCTCTGGACGGCAGGAGAAACAAAGGACACTGCGGTCAGTTTGAGGCCAGTTTGGTTACATTATCAGATCAGATAACTATCTTTTTCTCACTACCGGATAACAACTGTGATTGCATAAGGATATGTGGAAACTAGATGCTGCATAGACAGCTGATTACTGGCCACTTATTAGAAAAGAGGATAAGCAAAGTCAAGTTATTCAAGTAAGCTGCATTGTACCCCAATTCAAGGGCCAGAAAGCCGTTTCCTCTTAATTGCTCTTTAAATATTGTATTTGCCTAATTACGTGTCAGCACAATTTATTTTTAATTGCCATGTGAATAAACACTGATACTCTTTAACCTCAGTTACTGGAATTGAATCACTGGTACAAGTGAAGTTATAGTTTGGCTACTTGAGCGACTCATCACTAAAAACACTGACATTTCTTGTAGTGGAACAATGGTGATTCTAAGGGTGGGCAATTCTCTTGACCCTTATGCCTTGACCCCTTTCACCCTCTTAACTGAAGAAATTATATTGTTAAAAATGTCCACACTTTTTCATCACTAGATAGATAAGGAAAACAAGGATGTTAACAGTGAATGAGCATTTTCTTTTTAAGTGTTATATGTGTATATATTAGGGCTGTCAAGTTAACGCGTTAATAACGCGTTAACGCAAAAAAAAATTAACGCCACTAATTATTTTAACGCGATTAACGCATGTGTATTTTTTGTCCTCGGCCGCCCCGTAGTTTCAGAGCGCATCGAGTTTAAAATACCATCTACAAGCTGATGCTGACAGCCCCACTCCTGCCACCCGCTTGTGGCAGACCACACTTCCACGCTCACCGGCAGGCCCGGACTGGCCATCGGGAGGACCGGGAGGGTGTGTGCATGTGTGGCGCGACTCGCGAGCGAGGCACACCTTACGTGTTGTTGTTAGCATCTGGTGCTAGCTAGCTGCGCTAACGGATATAAGGAGCTGTTTCAATGAAAACAGAGGGGCGACATTTCGCCGACAACTGTGCCGAGCACTTGACTTTATGCAGGTAGCCAGACAGTGGGACATTGTACGAAAAGTCAGCACACTCAGCACGGATAGTGCGCGCAACATGATTGCAGCGTCTAGGCAGCTGCCGTTCGAGCATATATGCCTTGAGCTGCACATAGCACACACACAGTATTTTTGTATGAGAGAGGTTCCAGGTTGAATTGAGGCGAATATTTGTAATGTTCAGAGGTTGTTGTGTTTAATATTCATGAGCATATTTGTCATTGTTCAAATGATAATAAACAAACATATAAAGCATATGTCCACTCGTATGTTGATAAGAGTATTACAAACTTGAAAAATATCCCTCTAAGGTACATTTAGAACAGATAAAAAATGTGCGATTAATTTGCGATTAATCGCGATTAACTATGGACAATCATGCGATTAAATATTTTAATCGACTGACAGCCCTTGTATATATATTAAACAAGTCATGCTTGGCCTTTGTTGAACTTCTTAAAGACACAGTGTAAAACACAAAAGCATCCAGTGAGACCTGAGGCCTGTACTACGAAGCTGGTTCAACTTAACCTGGATATGTTGGAGTTAGCCGGTTGGCGTAATCCAAAACATACGCGCTGGCGCTAAACTGTACTACGACGCTGGATATCAAGTGGATCGCTCAAGCCGCCGTGTCCTATCTAGTTAGGTGCGCGTTCACATGAAAGGGGTGGTATTTGGAGCATTCGACCAATCTCAAACACGGAGAAGCGTACTGACAGCGCAGCGTCATACTTCCTGAATGAAAAGTGAACTTTAATATTAGTCAAATATGAAGAAGTTAAACTTTAAACATCCATGACTTAAACACTTTATCCAGGATCAAAGCCACATAGCTGCACCTGCAAGGTGAATACAGCTGGTAACAGAAAAAGTGTTTGAATGCGTACATTAACAGGTTTATGATATCACTGCCCCGTCCAAGACACGATCTGACTTTAATTACATTTGACTCGAGTGTTTCGTCAATTTAATGTGTTGCTTAAAATAATACTTCTGCATACAGTATGTGACACTGTGAGTGTTGCACGGCCAGATACGGCTCAGCTGACTCAGATAAGGAAATATATGATACATTATGATGTGATATGATATGAATGATAATGGGACACATCTACGTCTGCACTCACAGTGCCGCGGACTGTACTTAATGTTACTCTGATCCGGTTACTTATGTCGTGGCAGATATTTAAGTAAGCTTTCTTAACGCTAATGTTATAATAGTCAGATTGCTCTGAAGATGGGAGGGGATATTCTATTAATTTTCACGTTCACACAGTCAGTTGATTTTGGCCGGTCGTCTTTCCTGCAACGGCAGTTTAAACTGTATTTCCTTTCTCCTCCTGTCATATGAATTGATCGCTTTAAACTCCGCACACGGAGCTCTGATTGGTCAGCAGGCAGTGCTTTCACTGAGTTGATCTCTTAGCCTGCCACCTAACCTGCTCCGGAGCAGGTTTGCCGCTCAGCATAAGTTACCATGGAAATCTAGCCTGCTAAAAAGAGAACCAGCGTCGTAGGACCGGAAAGCCCGAGATTTCCCTGAATTTAGCCGGCTAAGCGAAAATCCAGCTTCGTAGTACAGGCCTCTGGACATTAGTTGCAGACGGGGCTGGTTTTGTGCTGTTGATGAAAATAGGACGAGCCACGTAAAAAAGCCCAGTCAGGTATCATTTTTGGAAGTTTTATCTGATTTCAGATCCTGAGACCCGCACACTATCACCTTGGACACAATAGACGGTTCTCACAGCTCTTAGGGCATGTCTCTCTCAGCGTCAGCATTTAGGGGGAAGTAGATAGGAGCGCTTGTTTACTGCTGCATCCTGTGACCTTATCTCTCCTCAGTGGAGAGTTCACCCTGCCCATAAACAATAGTCAACTCACACATTATTTATTGTTCACCATGTCTGACCAAGTTGCCCAAGATACGGGGAACAGTGTCAATTCCCTGCAAATGTCACTCATGTAAAATATAGAATGTCTTGTTATCAACTCATGTATCTTCTTTCACAAAAAAGTTATGTATCTAAACTCAAAATGGCTTTTGAACAGGCTCCCAAAGCTAATTTGTTAAAGCTAATAAACACAACAAATAATTGCTCTTAACCTGAACATTGAATTAGAAAGGGTTAATTTCCACATACTGTACAATCTTCTCAACTGTTCAGAAGTAGGTAAAATGCACAAAAGAATACATGAATGAGAATATAAGTAATGCAAGTAATATAAGTAAACAGTTTTTTGTTAAAATTCAGATTCTGATGAGTCCCAAGCAGCAGATCAACACAACTAGTGCAATATAAGAGTTCTCTATTTCTTCTTACCTCGTTGATGTAGAATATTTTTGATGAGTTATTTCTCCTCATACTTTCGGCTACTGCATCATGGGAGCAACAAGACAAATAGCAAAGGAAATACCAACGCTCAGGATAGAGATACCACATTTAGGATCAGATATGAAGTAGTCTGGGGCACCAATACTTCCTGATGCTGTCACTCACTAAATACCCATTTCCACGCCCCCTCTCAAAGTAGTCATTAGTGGAGAGATAAATCTTTCTTAGCACGCTTTTGAGTTAGTTTTCTGCCAGCGCCTTTAATATACTGTAAACCGTATAAACCCTAAAGTAATACATATATTGGAGGAAAAGGGTGATAGAAAATGGTGAGAATTAGTCCGACCAGCAGGAATAATAAAGATACGGACATGCAGATGAGCTGTGACATTGAAGTGGGGGAGCTGCATTACAGGCCGTAGTTCATATCTGACAGTAGGATCAGCCAACCTTCTGGTTAGGCAGACTCTGTCTTTGATCAACCTGCCGTCTCCTTTAAACATACATAGATGGATTTACGGTTTCTTTTTGCATTGTGAGTCTGTGTTCAAGATTCAGTTTGATCCCCAGGAGACGTTATGAACTTTAATGAGCCACCCCCCTTCGGCTGCACACACACAGTAACGCAGGTTTGAAAAATGCATTACATAAAGGAAAACGCAGCTGTAACTCGTGAGTCAGCGACCATGATCTATGGTTTGAGAGTTGACATGCACCTTGTGTGATGGATCATATAGTATTCTTTGCATCTGTGTTTGAATACAAAGTTAAAAACTGGGTTTAGAGTTTAGAGTAGTATGCCTAAATAACATTATAAATAATAAAGGGTAGTACAACATTTATTTACACGTTACTTGTTAATAACTCTGGAACAGGGGACTAAAGATTAGTTTTTGATATATGGCGCCATCTAGAGTTTTGATAGAAAACTGTCTTTGAACAGATTATGTAAGGAATGCTGGAAATAGCAGAAGGCTATTAGTCAAAATGTTAGAACAAAAAAAAAGAAGAGTTTATGAAATCAGTGGATAACATTTTAATGAGGACACATTCTTTTTATAAAAATGTATTGTATTTATATTCTGAAAGTTATAAAAGTGAGATCATTTTTTTTCCCTTTATAAAAACTAATTAAAATCCAAGATTAAAAAAAGATGTGGTGATATTGCTCAGTGCTCCTTATTGGGGGGCCACACCTGGAACAGAGCAACATGTGCAGGGCTGCTCCTTCACTCAATGTTGGAGTAGCTTCTGAAACCTCTCTGGCTCCCTCCACAGGCCGCAGGCTTGGGGCCCTGAGAAAAAAAATAAACATCATAATGAAGAGAGGCGTGAACTTTCATAACACACACACACTACAATTGGACTTAAAATGGAGTGGATCAGCATTGATGAGCATTATCTGTACCTTGTACATGCTGCAGACCAGAGAGAAGAGAGAAGTCGAGGCCTTGTCCTGCAGATCGTCGGTGTGAGCCTGCAAATTAAACAAGAATGAGTCTCCTTGGAAACAAGAAGCATTTAGGCAAAGGACATAGTGGACTTTTCACACAGCAGATCTACAGGCATTGATAAAAATGAGAGATCACCATATGAATAAAGGAGAGTCTTTGAAATAAAAACGCCACCCGTCTCCCTATTTGAATAGAACCACCAGAAATGGCCACTTACAGGCGGACTGAATTGATATATTTATATGCTGTACATTTGCAGTTTAAGATGTGTTCAAGTGTTATCTGACAACCCATTTTTAACATCTTCAGTTCCCCTTTGGCAGAGAGGTAGTAGCTTCTGTGGTGCTGGGCTTTAGAAGATGTAGCTACACACATAACAGTCACAGCTGTCTTTCCCTTACCGAGAGAAGTTTTGGGGCAGATCAAATGTCAAAATAATCACAAGATCATATCATCACTGGAGATGTACCATCCCTTTTTTTATAAACTGAGCATCAATGGCAGTGGCAGAATGGGGGCATTGCAGGGAGAGTGGCCTCAGAGTGAGTGATGATGGAAAGAGGGCTGATCTATTTAGCTCTGAAGCTGTATAGTTTCTTGAGGTCTAGCATGTTATATTTTTCCTACATAACGCCACAGAGGCCATATGTTTTACCAGAAGATGCGCTGGAGCCTTACCCCGTTAACGGTAATCCAGGGCACATATTTATGGGGAGGATTCAGGGCTTGGGTCTTCAAGGCGTTCTGATGCATCAGCTGGTTTCCCTTGTCCCCATTCACACAGCTGTCGATGCTTTCCCACTTCAACTCAGGGCTGAAGAGGTCCACACACTGCAATCAGCAAAGGAGGGAATTAACACACAGCAACTTCAGTAGGGAGATTATAAATAACGTGATGTGAAAGTGACAGAAGAGATGTATCAAAAGAAGGAGAGAGAGCCAAACAGACACTAGCGAAATGACTGGGGAGGGACCTCCTTACGCTCTTTGCTGCACTGATGACATCATCGGCGCTCTCCATACAGTGGATGGTCTCGTAAGCAGCACTAGCGTCTGTCATGTTCAGAAGACAAGTCTGAGAGGAACAAGGGAGTCCATTTATCAGTGGCAGCATTGTGACAATACTAAGAATAAAATAATTAAGGCATTTTGAATGAACATTTCTCCAGGAAATGATGGCAACTCAAAATAAAAGTGTTCCCTATTGTATTGACAGTATTATTAAGCAGTTTTTTCCTCTGTATGTTGGGGATGTTACTGTACCTCAATCATGTTTCCCAGACATTCCTGTTCTCCGTGCTGGCACTCAAAAACATACTTCCCTCCAACATTTTTCTCCTGGAATTGGGAACATGCAAGAGATTCACACATTAAAAAAAGAGAATAATTTCTAAACCAAGATTATGACATACATCACATGATAAGCCCATTGCTCCAGGTCAAGTTCAAGGTACATCCACACTAGGATAATTATGTTTATTGGATTATTCAGTGACTGTATATGGTTTTAAACAAGCCTTTTGCATGAACTTTTCATTCTTTCTTTCAATCTTTTTGACTTTTCAGCACAACAATATCAAACATATCAAACTTAAAGATGAGTTTCTAGACCAGTGTACTCGTTCACTGCTTACCTGTGCATTGCCGTAGGGCACCAGAGTCACAGACATGATTTCCTCCAGTAACACCCAGGTGGGGAGGAGCATCTGAGTGAGGAACAACCTGCAGCCGGGACACAGACTCTCATAGTACAGACCCACCTCCACCTGGTCTGCGGTCTGATGGGACCTGGTGAAGTTGGACAGAAGGCACTGCTTCAAGACCTGCACAAAGGGGGGAGAGCAGGAGGTTACTGTTGAGTGATCACTCTGTGTGTGTGATCACTGTGTGTGTGTGAGTGAGTGATCAAGCCCATACAGCCAAATATGTAAATGGTATTGTTTTTCATTTTTTTTTTTTTTTAAAGGTTTAAACTTCCTCATTGATTGTTCCATAGAAAAATCCGGTCGTCGCATACACAATAATACTACGTAGGCTACCCACTTCTTCCTCAAAAGTTCATTTTTTTTTAGAGTTTAACTTATGCACCAGCCCTTACAGTGGTCTTGCTTGTTTGAAGTGAATATGTCAGCACTTTTCTTTTTTGTTCTGAGTTTGAATTCTAAGGGTTTATGGCACTTACTGTAAGTCGCTTTGGACAAAAGCGTCAGCTAAATGCAATGTAATTAGATGACATAGAGAACACTTAACACCATGTAGGTAGCCGTTTCCTGTTAAACTTATTAAACAACGACACAGTTATACTGTTACAAAAACAGGGGGAAGAATGCTAACGCTGGATACAAAGAGAAATGTGGAAAATGTTTCGCCAAATACCTTTTTACTTACCCGGACACTTTAATGAACCATTTGATTCTGTTACGTTTAATTCGTACTTACAGCAGACTGGATGAGTCGAATAAGTCATTAATGTAGTGACGTGTGCAGTCCCAACAGTGAAATCTAGCTAGCTTATGCAGACATAACGCGATGTTGACACTCAACTCGTGTTATTGTGTTGCTGTATTATCTAGTGCAGTGATATCTAGGTAAGACCGAAAGTATATTTAGGGTGTGCTCTGATGTTAACAAACACCATTCATTCCGAAAAATAAACTTGTAAATTACGATAATAATATTAAACCTTGAATCTTACCCCGCACTGGATAGCTGAGTCCAGAGATGAACACCACTTTGACGGAGGGAGTGAACATGAAGAGGAAAAAGCGCAACCACCGTACTGAACATTTAACCAAACAGTCAAAACTAGCAGCAAAGCAGCCTTCATCTTCTCTTGCGGCACAGGTATTTAGTTTAACACTTTCAAACAAAGAAGAAAACACCCCCAGTACTGACCTACAAAATACGCTGCGTCCAACTTTAAATACCGTACCGACGCTTCCTCGTGAACGCTACCTGATTTCTGATTGGCTCTCAGTCACATGATTACGACAGCGTCACTTGTTCATAGGCAGGATCAATGCTGAGAAACGTTGATGCTGTGTTGACTCAACATGATGAGTAAAAAATGTCAGAAGACCATTGTTTCACAAGGTAGTGTTGGCTAAGAAGTATTGAAATCCTTTACTTAGTTAAAAGTAGGCCTATTGCAAAATGTAAACATACTTGTATTATTTTTAAAGTTAGGCCTACTTTAAATACTAAGTTACATTCCACCACTGGTTTCACAAATTACATTACATTACATGTTAGACACTTTTATCCAAAGCGACTTACATACTCAATACTGTGGGCAATCCCCACAGGAGCAATTTGGGGTTGCCCAGGGACACAACGACATGCTGACTGCAGTGGAACCTGTGACCCCCTGATCCGAACACCTACGGACAACCCACTACGCCACACGCCTCCCTCCACAAATCTTGGGAATTGAAAATGAAAGAACTGGTTAAAAACCTTTAACATAAGTCATTGATTTTATCACAAAAACTTGAAAATGTAATCATTTCGCAGTATGCATTAATGGGATACTAGTTTTGGCATGGTTTGCACATCACCTGCTGGTTAATCATAAAATGATGTCACGTCTCAGCTCAACTCCTCAGACCATAGGTCTTGCTCAAGAAAGAGTCATGAGAAACACACACACTGCAGAAAAAACATCATAAACCCTTGAACATTACCTGGTGACTCTCACATGATATACCCCTGCCTTCTTTAAAAGATTAGGACAAGAGGCAGATAAGCCAAAATGACAACACAACTGCATGACTCCCTCTGCTTCCCGTCTGCTTAGCTGTTTTGTGTAATCTGTGCTATTTTCATATATGCCTTTACCATATTTAATTATGGTGTATCAAAAAGTCTATCATACTGTATGACAAAGTCACAAACTCAATATTTCCTCACTCCCCCTCTTGTGGTGTCAGCATTCAGATGTATGTCTTCATTGGGAATTTTGAAATACCCTTATGAGGTCTATGTCTCCAACCTCTTCTTAAGGAAGAGAATGCATGTTATCATACTGTATGTGGGTTTAAACTACATTAAGCAATTATATTTTTTAAAAGGCTAACGTCATCATTCTCAAAAACATATTTTTACTTACTTTAGTTTTACTCTTCACCACAAACCCAAGTACAGAGTTCATTTGAACTGCTTTCTAGAAAAGAGTTTCCTATGAAACTGAAATATAAGAAAGTGATTTCCATGTGTAGGTTTGGAGTTGCAAAATGTATCATTTAAGCCTTCCTTCCTCATAAAACATTTGCAAAGATTATTTAAAAAAAAAATGTCTGGCAGTCTTCCAATTCATTTGTTGGTGCACTGCTATTGATGCGTTTGGCCATATCTCAAAAACATTGCTCCATAGCAGTAGTAGTGGTCATACAACGCCATATGGTTCCTTTATTTTCAGTGAGTGCTTTAAATGAGGGATGGTTTCACGTACAGCAAAGTCAGCCCATTATAGTCTGATACAACATGAGTATGTCAAAGTGTGATCAGTTGATAAGCTCAACATTATGCTCCAAAGAACAACACCGAAAGACAAACCCAGACAGTCATTTTATATATCTTTTATTGTCTTTTAAAATCATTGCATCAGCCTAAAGAAAGAACCGTACAGATGAAAGAGTACCTGTCTGAGGACAAATACAACTCTGAAACAAGCTGTACACGAGAGAGAAAGAAGGATGTCCCATCTGAATTGAGACAGTCCAACGGAGGGAGGATAACACAAGAGAAGAGAAGAAGAATAACCATCTTATCGTGCATAGGGGTTGGGCACACCTCAACCAATAGGCCTCTACTGGCTGAAACAACCGTGCTCCCTCTGAGTTCAATTGCACTTTGGTGTAGAGTAGCTTTATCTGACTGCCCCATTGTTTATCGTTTTTTAAAGAAGTATACATCATTGTTAAGAATGCATGAAAAACCTTGTATCTGTTGCAGAGGAAGTGAGACATTAGGCAACTTGTTGGGCAACATGGTGGAGCAAAGCAGACCAGACGGTATTAGTGTAAAAAAATGTGGATACGTGTTTAAATTGTTGCCGCTCTGTAATGTTGCCCAGGTTGTTTCCGAATTAATCACAGCCAATCTCGTTTCCAACATTCAGAGTCTTGATATGAACTACTGTACACCAGGGAAGAATCAGATTAATAAAACAAAATGGCTACCCTTCAGTTCAAAATCAAGACGGATGATATGACAAGTTAGGAAAAAGGCAGAGAAAGTGGAAATGACAGTGCAGTGGTTGATGGCATCATCATTTTCAATGGAAACAAACAAGCTGAGACTAAAGTGGGTACATTTGGTCTTAAAAATGTGTTAGCAAATGATTTAGATCCGAGTATCATTTACTTTGTAGTGCAACATCAAGAATAGGATGCCTCTTGATAGTTAATTTCAAATATGCTAAAACTGTACCCATGCATTACGCACAACATGTGGGTCACCCCATATCCATTCTTTGCAGTCTTGCTGATTATTTTATGTAATCTATACTTATATAAACAGCAAATATGAGACAGTGTGTCAAATGAGGGTTCAGTCCTGCACATACAGGGCTCAGTGTAATGTGATGTAGTCAGCAGGTAAAGAATGACTGATGATGACTTTGTATTATGAACACATGAATCTGGTTATTTTGAAATTGAGGGAGCACTGTTGTCGTTAGTCAAAAAAAGAGAGTAACAAACCAAAACAGAAAAAAAACAGAACAAGCAGTCATAACATTTTCAAGTTTAAAACGACAGAGGAAATGAAGAAATATAAATCAATCTATCACAGCCACTTTGAGGGACAGACAGATTGATTCTCAAACGCATACTTACTATTTGGTTAATTACATATTGTAAACATTTGTTTTTTTCGTTTTTTTCTGTACGGAGGAAAAAATTCAAGCTAGCTTATTTTTTTCTTTATAGGCTCTGCAAGGTTATCATTAACAGATATAAACAAAACAAACAAACACAAAAAAAGAACCAACACTTGGACAAACAATTGGCTTTTTTAAAAGCCAAATAAAACACATATACTCAGGCACCATAAAAGAACACTTTCTAATGCCATCATAGTTCCATGTACAAAGAACTGCGTAAAGGAGTGATCACAAACTGTACCTTTTAACTAGTTTTTTTTTGCTTTCAGCGACCGCAGAGATCCACCGAGGGACGATACAGTGGTAAGATGGTTCACTCTGTTACAGCTTCAGTGTCTGTGGTGGATCTCTGTGGCAGCAAACTATTGTAAGTGTATCTTTTGTGGTGCAACGTTAACACTCAATCTACTCACAAAACCAGAATCTTCTAAAAAGACAAAAAAGATTCTCATGTTCCAAATAACAAGACAAATCTCTATTATTTAATAAAATGCAAAGCAGCCAAGACCAAGCTCTGTAAATATTAACACATGTACATGAGCTTGCTTCTTCCTCTGAACGCACCTGATAATCATGCTTAATAGATTTCCTGTATGTCGATCAGCTGTGAGCACACAGTTTGTTGTGAATCATGATGAAGCTCACTGCAGCTGATTAGTAAAAATGCGTTTCAATAACTGCAGGAGTACGAAGCAGCCGCGCAAAGAGCGAGTCAAAAGACCGCGTTCACATCAAAGCCTCTCTCCGATTCGTTTCAAGCACAGTCCGAATCAGAATTCAATCATCCAAAAATATAGATATCTAAGTATATATTTCAAAATATTTATTCTCTAGTAATTCTCTCATTCTTAAAACCTTAGACACCAAATGTGTGTTTCTTTGTAGTCAGTGAAAGATGTGCTCTGTGTGTGAAGCCATTTCAAGAAATATCATTTACAGTGTACCAAAGCGGATGAAAAAATATTTAACCCCTTGAATGATCATTTGTCATATAGAAAAAATGTTTTTCAACAAGCTCGGACATAAATGCATATGTTTTTTAGACGAGCAGGATGAAAGCTTTGAGTTTCAGAGTAACGTCTGCCAAAAGTGGGCTTAAAGTCTCAACTGGAAGTCAAAGCACAATAAAGTGTTCCTCTCCTGCCCTCTCACTGCCTGACCAGGTGGCATTGCTACTAAAGTTGCATTGCTTCTAGCTTTCAATAATCTGTGATTAACATGGCAAATATGGCAGATAAAAGTGTTTTTCTGCACTGCAAAAAAGTTCATCTTAACAAGTGATGCAGGAAGCCATTCAGCTTTAAATCCGTATGTTTCTTCATGAAACTAAATATATTAACCCGACCGCTTGGCAAGTGGATTATGTGGTTTATCGAAACCTTGGAAAGGATTGATATCTCAAAATCTAAACTATCTGCATGTTTAGATATCACTATTGGTAAGTGAACACATGTATTTCTGTGATTTGGTTGAAGTTACCTTTTAGGAAAATGTTCTGTCTTGTTAAGTTGGACAATTATGCTCTGTGAACAAAAATTGCATAATGAGCCATCAGCTCCGTTTGTTTGAAAGTATTAGAGTTATACAGTCCATATAGTAATACTAACTCTATAATGAAAACATTGCAATCAGTCAAAAAGCATCAGAATTACATGACCGCTGTTGACCGCCAAAACAACATAAGCATATACTGTACACTGTATACTCCGATATCATAAAGAAAACTGTCGATCATTCCCGATATACTGTACGGAGAGACCATAAAACTATCAACTAAAAACACTATTGACAACTGAGCTTCACCACTGTGAGTTTATGGTTGTTGGGCGTCAGACACACTAGTTTGAGTGTGTGGAACTGAGAAAAAAAGTGCAGTCACAAAAGTGTTGGTCCAACAAACTGGATAATGGATGTGTCAGCAGTGGCGGGTGACTCAACCAGATTGCCTGTTCGCAAAGGAACTGACTCTTTATATAAAACACTGAGAAATGCTGCATGCATTAACTTGAGAGCTTATCAGATGAGCTTCAAACAACTGGGCTGGGCCCTGGATGTGTATGGTTCACATTTCTATCTTATCTGAGACTTCTCAAAAGATATACCAGACAAACACACCAAAGAAATCTAGCTTTGGTGCACAGTGAGAGAGAGAACCAAGCTACTGTACAGCCCCCACCATAGAAAGAAGGAATATGTAACAACTATAGATGTAACAACTCAAATCTAGAACATGCTCAGATTTGCTCTAACACACAAACTCACACTATGCTCATCATTTTACCTTTTAGAATTTGGTAAATGGCAAAAGAGTGAGCATGGGGGCACAGCATATGGTGGTGATGACGAGGAGGAGAAGACGAGCTCATCACAATGACTTAAAGGCACTTCTAATCTTTCTAACTCACACGTGTTTATAGCCCTCTATTCAGAAGCACAGCCTTCACCTCTAGTTTCATTCTTGGGATTTACTATTTGCCAAGAACTGTGCAAATTGATTCGTCCTGACCGAAATCAAAAATGACGTCTTGATTCGAAACTTTTCAGGCTGAGTTAGGGTTCATTTGAAAGTGTGATTGGTCTGTTTGGAAAAACCTGAAAATGTGTGAAACAGAAATGAAACTATGCCGAAAAGCATTGAGTTTGTTGGAAACTAAGGTCTTCAGATGAAACGTACATAATTATATTTCTTGACAGGAAGAGTCGAGAATATCTCAATTCGGTTTCAATCCCTCCTCAACAAAAAAGTTTAGAAATGCCAAATGTGCAACCTTTAAAAACAGTGCACTTCTTTTCTCTAAAAGCTTCTATTGCCCACAACGTCTGACTCTCCTATACTTTTCTACAAAAATACTTGTTTCTTTTTTGGCAATCTGAGTCTACATACAAGAGATTATTCATTTTCATTCATTCTCAAGAAATCAGCTTTGTAAATCAAACCTAAAAAAGGGGCATCATGTGACGCCTCATTTCCCCAACAACAATTGAGTAATCCTGCCTCTAAATAAATGAACTGTGCTTTGAAAGTGACAGAGTACAACGATGGTACAATCTTTATGAGTGAACCGGGAGAAATTCCCCATCACAGCACAGGATCGAGGGAGGGAACGAATGGCAGAAGTTATTATCTACATGTGACTGTTGTGCATAGTACTACCACACATCATACTGTACTTGCACTACAGAAAGTACAATTAACCACAGGTGCCAAGTGAAGAAAGAAAACAACCCAAATGAAGGACTCCATGCATACTATACTAGATAATCTCTCAGACCGAAGAGGCCATGCTGAATGGCAAAAGGACCAGTTATTTGTGTTCTTGCTACATGAAAAGACATCCTTCATTTGGCTCACATTAGCTGGATACTGTGCATCCTTAAACTGAATCTAAGAGCATAGCAAATATTCTGAAAACACAAAAGAATCACAGCGATAAAACTGTGTAGTGTCAGATACACTGACTGTATGTCTGCGATATACTGTACATGACTTATATTACTGCTTTTTTTTTTTTTTTTTTTGTACATCAAATGTTCTACAGCTCTGTGAGTCAAGCTTGTGATAAGTGAACAGTCGAGCGCGGGGAGGAAGGAAGTACCGTGAGTAAATCTGCATTTAAAAACATAATAAACATCTGCGAGGACATAGTACCGCTAAACAGTCTAATCTACCTAGAGACAAGGCAAATACAGTACCGAAGATACAATAATCACATAGATAGATGCTCTGCAAGTGTCTTCAGCATAAAGAAACCAGACACCGAGGAGAAGCACTAACAGTTATGCCTTAAGTCAATGGCTACAGGTGCTACAGTATATACGAAGATGACAAAAGAAGGAAGAAATAAAGAGACGTGTGATGCTGGATTACTCCCACAATTTCCCTTTAAAAAGGAAACCTGAATCATGTGGTGAAACTGCATTTATCAATGTACCTCTCCATTTAGTGTATTGTGATTACCTTTCTATATTCACAATACACCAAATAATGTACCATGCCTTCCTAAGCCGCCATACAGCATTTACTGTATGTTGTACCTCGTCAATTCAAAAGGAGGCCCACTGAGAGTGCAACGAGCCAAAGCAGTTGGAAATAAAGAACATTTCATAAAAAATATACCTATATATATATATATATATATGAGTATTATTTTTAAAGCTGTAGCTGTCGACAGCCGCTCAACCCCTCCTTCCTTCTTTCAACCTCGACGTGCCCCCTTGTTATAGTCACACAGGCTTGTGGTCATTCAAAAGCTATTACTATGGCACTTACGCAAGCTTTAAAATTGAATCAATCTTTTTAAAACCCATACAAAACATCAACCCAGGCAATTTCTCTCGCTTTCCCTCCCTCACCCCCCCCCTCGGCTCCAGTGACTCAAGCCCCTGGTCCGTGGTTTTTCAGCCTGTACATGTAGGTGTGAAGCGAGCAGCCCGCTTCAGCCCAGCCAGTCCTCTCAGCGGACGACAGCTCAGGCGTTTGTCGACGGAGAGTTTGCAGGCAGTCTGGGGATGACAGATCGGGCCTTTGTCTGGACAGTTATCACGTGTTCAAGGCAAAAAAACAAAAGTGCCTTCTGTAAATCATTCCTCCATCTGGTTTCCCCCTCCTCTTCCCCATGATCTTGAAAACAACATTGTTGTGTGCTTATTTTGTCTTCTTCTTCGAACACATCTCGACTGTTTTTTTTCTCCGTACCGAAGGGGTTTTCTTGTGAAATTCTCACACTTTCTTGTCTGTACTGTACTGTACAGATAAGGCTGGCTAACTCTCCTAAAGTTAAAACTCACTGCGTCAGCCGGGCTAACTGTACAGTGCTCTGATACTGGTAGTACTGTGCTTATTTTGAAGCCATGCTGTAAGCAAGGAGTGCTCTTTGCTGGGGTTGGTGTGGGAAAATAAGCACCAGCTTCCAGCCAAAAAAGTATGAATTTTAAATCATGGCTGTAGAGTCTTTTTTCTCTTAAACATGAAGAAGCATTGTTTGGAGGATTCTTTTTTTCCAACGCATACAAGTGAAAATGTTGTTTCCCCCCTGGCCGGTGTCTTACACTGCTGGTTGATAATTCATCTGGGGTGCTGGTTCTGGTTCTGAGAGCGGGCCAGGACTGGGTAGGCCAGGTTTACATTCAGCTGGTCGTTGTGCTGGACCAAGGAGACGTTCTTGTAGTGGAGCACCAGGTCTCTGAGGGACGAGTACAGATTGTAGGGCTCGGCGAATCCATAACCGGTGGCCGTCTTGTAGATGACGCAGTGCTTGGCGTCACCCTCCACACTGGAGAGAAGGACAGACATCAAATGTTAATTATGGGAAAATATATACATGACTCAGACTTTCACAGCAGATATTTTTGACTGGTTGTAGAAGAGAAAAGGCACATATGTAATTAATAACACTAAAAACTCAAAGCCCTCGTTAGTGAAATGTGTCTCGACTGTGCCTTTCCTGCTACAAGTCCAAATATCTGCCGTGCTAAAAGTCCATTAAAGAAGTCATTTGTCTTGAAGCAAACATAAATCTGCAATAACTTATTAGAGTCATGTCGGACATAGTGATCCTAGATGTTTTTCATTTGATCAGTCGGTCAAATTTGCATTAATACTGCTACCACTGTAAAGTTTAAAATGTCACATAGTATTTATATAACAATTTGCTCAGTTAACAGTTCTATCTTTTTTAGTGACCCAAAAACAGCAAACAGACCACCGTATAATAAAAAGAAAATAAACAAGCAAAAATAAATAAATAAATACAAAACAATATAATTATAAAACAGTAGACATGGGGTGTTTTCTGTTTACAAAAGCACGATCAAACAAGGGATGGTCGTCTCTGTCAAATATATTGCTTCCACAGCAAGCTTTATATCTTTTCCATTTTCATTAGTTTTAGCTTCCGAAATCAAATTCAATGGGCTTATTCAATAGTGTTTAAATAGTTAAGAAATATTCCTCTATCAAATTAACATGGCATACATTTGATCAGTTATTTGAGTAGACAAACAAAAAGATCATCACAATGAAAGCTAGAAAAGAATGACTAAACTTACACTACAGAGCAGGCGTAGGAGCCCTTCTGTGATTGGCTCTCACGGATGAGGAAGGTCCCGTCACATTTGCCTCTCAGCATCTCCTCAGCCTCGGTGCGTTTGATGTCACCCACGTACCAGGTGCACTCCTCGTGGTGCGGTGAACCCTCGTCCTCCTCCAGCGAGTAGGACCTGGAAATAAGGCAGCAGATACTTTAGTCACACGTTATATCGTCAGCAAATCATGAAGCTTCAGCAACTCTCTAAATGACAGGCGGAGATACAGCAGCGCCAGGACATCACAGCACAAGTCTCCGAGGCTTTACAGCATGTCTAAACACTCACTCATCAGCGTCGTTCTTTATGCCCAGCCATTCGTTGATCTTCTTCTGCCTTGTCCCCTTCTGAGTCAGCCATCTGCAAAGCCAGGGCACCACAGATTTAATGCTGATCCATCATACTCAAGATATAAGGATAATAATTGAGTGTATGTATTTTAACTTGAAACTCTGAGTTATTCTTTCATGTATTCTCACATTAAATACTGGTCTCGGATTTTGCGGAGCTGCATGAGATCGGGCTTGAGGCTGTTCATCTTCTTGTCGATCTCCCTGTTGTCAGAGACCTGCTCCTTCAGGTCCTGCTCCAGCTTACACTTGCTGTCGTGGATCTCCTTCACACGAGACTTCAAACGCTCCGAGTTGCTCTGGATCCTGGTTTGAGAGAATAGCGATAAATAGATTTTAAAAATGTTAAACAAAAAAAACGAATAAATTCCAATTTAGCAGCTTAGTTCACCTTTATAGTTCAGTAAAACAAATGTATTCATGCTCTGCATCTGCCTGCTTTAAACGTATGCCAACTTTCTTTCGAAGGTGAATTCATCAAGGATACACAGAATCCCATGCACATAAATATTAATTTACTTCTGAATCTCTTTTTCATTGCCCTCGCGCTGGAACCGCTCCAAAGACTCTCTGCTGTAGCGCTCCTGAGTCTCACACTGCTCCTCAAAGATCTTGATGGTCTCATTGAAGGCCTCGATGGCAGTGCGCTTCATCTGCAGCTCCTGAGGGAGACCGGGACAGAGGAACAGACTGTGACGACCTGTTTCATGAATGATTTGTCTTTTTATTTGATCCTTATCTACTGATATCCATTAGGCCATTTTAGCTTCATGTATTTAATCTTTGAGGCATTGAAGCTTATATTTTTCTGAAGGTTAGATACTTTGTTTCTCACACTGCACAAGTTAACAGCACAGCACTTAGATACATAATGACCTTATGAAGACTTCAATAACTAAATTCACATTTTCACTGTATACTGCAGATATATCTCTTACTAATTTAGAACTTCATGTAAATACATTCGTTATTAACATTTTTAGCATTTTCTCTTTCTCAGTGCACATTCTCTTTTTTCCTAATATATTCTGACTATGTTAATTAAAAAAACGGTTTAAACTTCATGTTTTTGTAACTCAGATTAAATGTATAATCTACATGTACATTGTAATGTTCTATTACTACTGCATTTGCTATAAATGGCTTCAAACACATTTCCAATGTAGAATAATTGTTGTTTTATCTTTTGGATATATTGTATCTGTGTTCAAGATATCTAAATGATACACATATGTCTGAGAGCAGTATATGAAGAATTAAAATCTGGATAAAAATGGATTTGATCCCACTGCAGCGTGTTGAACCTGTACCTGTGAGGTGCGGGTGTACTCCTCGTACAGAGAGTCATACTCGCGGCTCTTCTCCTGGTACTGCTCGTGATAGACCTTCAGCTGCTCCCCCACCTCCTCGATACTGTTCTCCTTCACCAGCTGAGCCGAGCAAAATGCAGATGAGAGCAAAATCATCACTTTGAGAACTGCTTTGGTTATTCATAAAAAGAAGAAGATCAAGGGTTTCTAAATCAAAGCAGACTTGCAGAAGGATGCTGCTCGTAGTTGAATTTAATTTGACAAAGTCACCAACCTGTTGGTATTTGGAGACAGGGAACAGCAGTCTGGTGTCCAGCTTGGCATTGTATTGAGCCAGGGACTCGTGGTGGTAGTGATTGATGAGCTCCACTACTGTGAGGAAGGTGAGAGGCTCCGAGAAGCCGTACATGCCGTCTCTGTGGTAAATCTTGATCAGCTTGTTGTTTCCCCCTTTCCTGCAGGGGGAGACAGGAGCCATGTGAGGGGAAGGAGGGAAATAAAAGCACATATAGCACATGCTGACTGAACTTTCAGAAGTAAGACTGTTTTTTTCCATTGAAAGTAACACTTTTTTATTTCTATAGTTACGATTCAACTGATTCAGATGTGGTTAAAACTGGTTTAGGAGACAGTAGCGTTGCTTTACCTGAGGGTGAGCGTGTACTCGCCCTCCAGTTTGCTAGAAGCATCTCGGACCAGGAAGGTGCCATCTGGAGTGTCTCGCAGCTTCTCGTTCACCTCCTCTCTGCAAACATCGTGACATGCAGTATTTACTTCATTAACACTAGCTGAAATAACATTTCCACAATCATAAAATAAGATATATTGATGTATGGAACCTGTTGTACAATGTCCAGCATACATTTTGTCTGGTATCAATTACATTTTTCCTCCAATACTTTCAATAAATGCAAACTTAGTATTGACTCTTATCAAATTCACCAGTATCAGATATTTATTTTAATAATTTACCTTGAGATTTCCCCCCAGTACCACTCAGCATCGTTCAGCAGGCTGCTCATGTCTGTCATGGCTGATGGCGCAACTTTTGACTTGAGTGGCTTTGCTGGAAGAACTGGAAACAGACACACACACACACACACAGGAATCATTAAAATAATTTTATATTAAAAGGAAAGGATCACACAGGCACTTAAAACTGCTAAAGATCTGCCTATATATACACAAATTATTTTTAGAAAGTATAACAGAAATACCTTGTATTGTATCAAAGCATATAAATGAACATGTCATGTGCTATACTAAGATAGACACTATTCACCTAAGACATATTTCTACCAGTTTTACTAAAGGTAATGTACCTGGAGGAGTGAGGTCTTGCTCTGTAGTTCTCTCGATCAGCAGCCTCTCCACAACGAGGGCAGGAAACTCTTCATTCGCTGACAACCTGCACAACAACCCATCGAGGGACAGTGTAAAATAAAACTCCCTATTTGACACATTTTTGATATTCAAACTCAACATTTGCTGAATTTACTAAATATTCACCCAATTTGAATATGTTTTTGTATCAAATTTAAATCAAGCAAAACTTGCCAGGGGGTGGAGGGTTCTGTGCGTATCAGCAGCGGTCCGAAGACCTTCCCCAGAGTGTGTGTGTCCAGACCGTTGCTGGCCTGCGCCTGGGTGACCTTGGCCAGGTGTGTGAGGAGGTACTGCAGCGTGAGGCGGTGGTGGAGGGGCACTGAGGTGGAGCTCTCCAGGACCAGGCTCACCTCTCGGTCCAGGCTTCCAGCAACCGCACCATCTGGAGGGATATAAAGGTATTAATGATGTATACATGAAATACTGTAAACATCAGGTTTAATATATAAAAGAATCTCAGAAGATGATACATTGAAGTGGTTAAAAGGTCAACTTAATGTCGAGGCCTACCTGCTGACTGCTGCAGGAGCTGCTGCTGCTGCAGTGTGACGGCAGTTTGAAGGTGAGGGTACACACAGGCGGGGATGACGGGGGACGGGAGGTCTCTCAGGTAGTTCAGGACGCACTCAGACAGGTATCCCACATCTCTCTGACACATCTCAGTCTCTGGAGCACAAAGACACATACAAAGACATTTAGGGACAAGTTATGACAAGAAAAAACCCTCCAAATTCAATAAATCAACCATAAAGTAAACCTCAATCTGCAAAATGTATTCTGCTGTATAATACCCTGCTGATTCAATTCAAGATTCAAGGCTTTATTGTCATATGCACAGTAGCTACAGTGTAGATATGGCAATGAAAAATGAAGTCCCAGGCTCCTCCAACAATGATGAAATGCATTGCTGAAAAACAACATAAATGCTAAGAAAGCTTCCCATGTATATCCATTAAAGTAATCAATGATACCTCTGTAGTTTGAAATGTTAACTCGTAAAATATAATTTTGGATCACAGATTTTTTGATTGGAGAGTTGAAATAATAAAATAGGTCATGGTCATTTCTTTAACTTAAACAAAGCATGGTGATAAATGTAACTTATCAGTGCTCAGAAGTGGGCAAGTGGGCAACTATAAATCAGTTAATCAGTAAATGATCTCAAACTGAATTTGGCAATTATGACATGTACACAGATATATCTACAATAAACTGTGCTAGCCTTGATCTATTTCTGATGCAATGTAAATAAAGTTAATTAAGAAAACTATTAAAAAAATAACACAACTAAATGAAAATGTAAAAGTATGACTCAGACCAACTCACCAGAGCTCAGGCTGTATATTGGGCTGTCTGCACCTGAGGAAACATCTGTCCTGTACAATGTCTGGCAGTCCAGACCTGAAAAAAGACAAAAGGACAGTTAAATAAAGGTCTGAACAGACAGACAATCTCAAAGAATATACAGTGAAGTACAGAAAACAGAACAGTTAGGCGGAGAAAAGCACAAAGAAGAGGAATCATGAGCAGCGATAGCACTAGTCTGATGTAGTGGATGACTCTATATCTGCCTGACTTGAAGTATATCATCTACTGCTATGTAAAAGCCATGTTAAGCCATGTTATGTGACACCCAATATCAATACTGACATTTATCACCAGCTGGATAATGTTAGTAAATAAGCAAAAACTTGTACGTGACAAAGCACATTGCCAGATGTTTGTTATGGGAATACTCAGCACAAAGTCTCAGCTGTTGTTTTCCTTCCAGCCTCACATCGAAACAAGAAGGAGGTGATCAATCAAATGTGGAAGATTTAGTCAAACATTTCCCACAAGTTATATTAACCAGAGCAGAGCCAACACATGTTGGTTCTTTTCTTGGAGGAAAATGTGTGATTTATTTAGTCACTCTGAATTCCAGACATCATGAAATCATCAAGACATTTTTTAAAGCACATTGGAAAGCACATACATGTAATCTATTCCAATTTAAGATAAGGGAAACTTAAGTGAACAAATCGTTGATTTTCTTTATGTTTCAGTCAACATACAAATCTTAACTCTTCATTACAGAGTAATCCATCCAGTTATAATACCCCCTTAGACATCATTTAACTGAATGACTGCATTTCTCTTTGGGTCCCAGGCTTAACAAACATTTAGGAACAGAGGGTCTAGACAGATGCATCTTGCAATTCCTTGAGACTGACCAGTGTCTCAGGTAGGTGTGAAACCCCCACCATGCAGTCACAGTGTGTGTGCACCCAACACTGTATTTCAATATTATTTTATTTACATTCAGACAACAGACCTTCTGTTGCCTTTCAAGTAGATAGATCTTTTATCAAGGCCTAGCATGAGAACAATTTGAGTGAATCTCCAGCATGGAAAGCCGGGAGAATCACATCGAAAATGTTTTGACTCTACTATCTCTAACTTATCTGTTTGTTTGTTTTTAACTAAAGAGTGCCCCATTCCAAACAAGCTAATTCTGTATAACTGAGTACGTAGTGTGTTCACACAGGAAAGTCACATTACATTTAAATATATTTGATAAAAGGAACACTGCTGCTGGTGTACATGGTTGTACGAATTTAGAGAAGCTATTAACAAATGCAAACAGTTTTGATTAATTGCAAACGATGCTCCGACAGCTGCAAAGAATGTGGGAAGTTGAGATAATCATTATAACTTAAGAAATACATGTTACTCCCCTCGTTTATCTATCAGTGTATAACTTCATTCTAAAGTGGGGACACGTAATGCATTAGTTTCTGTATAAAGTTGTATACTATGTGGATTATTTTCGCTCTTGCAAACCTAATACACCATAAAGATTAATAATGTGGAATAGGGACACAGGTTAAGTGTACATAATACTGTGTACATTAAGTGTGCATAGGTGTAGCCAAAATAATTAATTCTGATGCGGGTCTGGGAGTGTTGGTTGGAGAAAAATGCTAATTTAAAAAGACGTTACATTGGGCTCTGACATTTTGATGTTTTTTTCCATTTAAGGATTTACATGACACAATCTGTAGTTGCAGTGCCTTTGTGCGTGAGTGTGTGTAATTTGGATGCGTGTGTGTTTGAGAGAGAGACAGATGAAGACAGAAATAAAGAAAAAAGCTGTGAATGGAGTCCCACTGAGCGCTATTTGTTAATAACATAGTGTGAATCAGCCCCACTGTGCAGGTCTCTCAGCGAGGCCTCACAGAACTGCTCTGACTTTTTACATTAATCGTCAATGTATGAAATCTGCATGCAGTCACTAACCAACCGAGGAGCTGTACTGCAAGTGTGCATGAACATGTGTGTGCATTTCTACATCTGTGACTGCCTGACTGGATCCACATGCCTATGAGTCTACACTTGTGCAAATGCTGGCAGGAAAGCAAGATGGCAGATGGCGGGAGGGAGACAGTCGCACGTAGATGGAAAGACGAGACAGACGAACACGTTGGCCTGGTTGACATGGAGATACCTCTCTTCTCTATGGCTTGGATCAGGCTGACGAGGGCTGTTGGGGCCGTCTCTGGCGGTGTGAACTGCTCGCTCAGGTCCAGCACAGAAACAGCTGAAACAACACCACAAATCACTGTTACACTTCTGGCACAAAGCCCCTGAAAGACCGCGGGGGGCTGCACCACTGACAAGGGCACAGTTAACTAGGAGCAGTTGGAGATATAGAGTGTGCATAATGTTGCGAGAACATATAACATTTGTGAGGAAGACAATAAAAACATGATGAGGTGGATTTTAGTATCCATTTCTCAAGAAGAACACCTGTTTTGCAACGAAGCGCAGCAGCAGTCAGTGCAGTGTGTTGCTGTTGTTTGGAAAGTATTCAAATACAAAAAAAATGTAAAAACTCCCAAAGCTAACACAAACACTTGAAAGCATGGGATGCATCTTTCTGTGTGAATGTATAGTCTGGAAGTCTAGCTGATGAGATATATGATATGAAAACCAGAACTATTTAGTAAATGTACAAAAGAATGAAAAGAGGCTTTACACAGAGGAGGAAAAATAAAAAAAGGGAGGAAAAAAAACAGACTGCTGATGGCGAGCAAAAACTTTATCTACTTTACAACTCCCCATAGACCAAATCAAACATCTTTTCAGTCCGAGAGAAAGAGAAAAGGAGAAAGCAAGAGAAAAAAAAAAGAGAGATCCCATTTCCCTCCCTCCCTCTCCTCTCTTTTTTCCCTTTTCTTCTCTCCCCTCTCGCTTTCTCTCCTCCCCTCCGCTCTGTCCTGCTCGGTGTTTCGCCTTAGCTCTTTGCGTGAGTGGAGCACAATAAAGGATTTAATCAAAACTCCTGAACAAGCAAAAGCCCTGTGGCAGTGTGCCAGGCCCGGCCCGGCCCAGACAGGCAGGCAGGCAGCGCCTCCTATTCGGCCCCAGAGCGGGCCTGTGGGGTGGGGGAGGTTTGGGTGAGGGGTGGGGGTGACGCTGGGAGCAGGGAGGGCCTGGCCTGGCCGGGGCTTGGCAGTAGGCTCCTGTTCCTGGCACGGCTCGGCTAAACCGCTGCTGATTATTAATTTGGGGAGTTCAGACAAGAAACACAGCGTCAGCACATTCCGTTCCCCTCTCTCTCTCTCTCTCTCTCTGGTTCTTGTTCTCAGTTTCTCGAGAGGTCTCTCTCCCTCTCTCTCTCTCCCTCTCTCTCTCTCCTCCCTCTCTCTCTCTCTCTCTCCCTCTCCCTCCCTCTCTCTCTCCCTCTCTCTCTCCTCCCTCTCTCTCTCTCTCTCTCTCTCCCTCTCCCCCTCTCTCCCCCTCTCTCCCCCTCTCTCTCTCTCTCTCTCTCGCTCCCTCTCGCTCCCTCTCGCTCCCTCTCTTCGTCCTTTGCATTCTTGCGCTTGCTGGACTCCTTCTTTAGATTTTTCTCTCTTTTGCTTGAGTTCTAAGACAATCTCCCTCTTTTCTTTCTGAGTCTCTCTCTGTCTCCATGCCTGCCGGTTAAACACAGAAACTTTTCCTGACGGAGCGAAATCACAGACCCCTGCCTCTTCTTTATCCATGTTGGCCATTTTGGCTGGCGGGACCCCCTTCTCTCATCATCTCCTCAGATTGTCTCTCTTTGGGGTTCAGTACAGTTTTCACATTTTAGCACAAAGTGTCAACCCAAATTAAAGTTTGTTTTTGCCTTGCAAAACAACTCATGATGAATACTGATCTGACCCCCCATGTCATGTTGAACGTGCAATGCACACAGCCATATCTTCCCCTTTCAGTCTTCTCCCTGATTTGATTTTCAGACCAAAAACAGAATTGCATTAAAGCAACTAAACTGGCCATGTTTGTGGTGGCATGAGAAGATGAAATATATCTTTAAAAAAAAGTCAGGTTTCAGAAATATGGCCTTTCAGGCACCATTACACAACATGTTATCTGTAACAATACCACAGGATTAAACTCAATCTAGCAGATCCTAGCCTTTAGTAACCCATTCATGTTACTGAGTAAGCTGCCACAAGTGTGAGCTTTGATGATTGCACTGTTTCACCAAAGTTGTGCATGATCCCACTTTTCCTGAGCAACCCTGTACCTTTTCTGCTGCTGCCCCCAGTGTCTGCAACCCTGTGGTACTAACGTAGGTGTGTCGTTGAAATGAATGAGCTAGCTGTGCTTTTAATGCAGTGAAGTCTGAACGAGTCCTAAGAGGTTTTGCAGCTCTATGACAATGGCTCGCAACATCTGCCTTCTCTCCTGACAGACAAGAAATATCAACTAAAATAATGTGCTATCAAAAATGTGTAAACATGTTAAGCTCCTCCTTTGCACACAGCTCACATCGACACCTCTCGTAGACCAACAGAAAGGTATATATTAATCCAAGTTTGTGAAAACAGTAAAAACACATATGAGAAAATATCAACGTGTAAATTATATTTAACTGCAAATAGATTTTGGCACATAAAGGTTATTTCACGCTTCATAAACGTACACAAGGTACTACTGAGAAAAATCACAAACACTTTGGACAAATTCATTTTTTCAATTGCTTAGTTTGATGCTTTCATTTAAAATAGAAGGTATTGGAATAAGTGAACACTGTCTACATTATAGTGTATTGTCATAATTACAGACGCAACTAAATGCAAATGTTATGGCTTTAGAAAGCAGAATGTATTTGTTATACAGTACAGACGTGCAAAAGCCAATCTTCATGGAGCCGTTATGCCGTTGGGTTTAGGCAGGATGCAGGCAATAAAACGTGGAAATCAAATAAAAACAGGGAAATAAGTACAAATATAGGCTATAAAACCACAAAATGAATGCTCTCCAACAGTTTGGGAGGGGAGTAGGAAGAACATTTTGATTGCCATATTTTCCCCGACAGGAAAGAACTTTCTCACCCCTACATGCAAACAAACATAAACACTTTATTTCACAGTATATTTCTATTCACTCGAAAAGGGAAAAAAAAAGATTAAACTTTGACTTTCGTGCAAAGAGAGAATCTGTTTTTTTTCTTCTCGTTTCGTGCCAAAAGCAGCTGAAGCCCTGCAGTCTTCTCAGGGTTTTGGAAAGGTATGGAAAAGGAGTGAAAGACAGAAAGAGAGATAAAGTAACAGCAACTTGTTAGTCAATTAGAACCACTTCCTTGGCAGACTGCACCCTGGGAGACAGGCCTATGACTTGACATGCCATGAGACGTAGCCAATGGGAGAAAAGGAGAAATAAGGAGCGAGGGAGATACAGAGAAAAAAGCATGGCAGAGTGGAGTTTGGCACTCTTGCCTCTTAACAAGTAAGTCAGAGTGCATTTGAGGCCATATAGGTCGAGCTTATGTAAGCATTGGTTGGAAGAGATTTTTACTGGCTAGATCTCATGACTGCTGTTTTTCTTCAGAGATGCTTTGATAAAGTCAACCCGAGTCATTCAACATCATCTGTGCTAGTGAGAACATCTATAATTGGTTTTGTTTGATGTTATCTATACATAAAGCTGATGGTGAGATGAATGTTGCAGATCCTGTCTTTGTGTGTTTGCACAGCAGACTGGATGAAGCAGAGCTATGTGAAGCTAAATATTTTCTCTGCATCTCCTGCATCAGTATGCTTATGTAACACATAGCTGGCTCTGCTGCATTCTCCCTCTCAGAGGTCTGTCACAAACCAAAGCTTTTCCAAATGCAGATACAGCATGAAATCATTCACAGGATTTCACTGCTCGTATTAAAACTCGGCCATTTCTTTACAAGTTCAAAACTCCCAATGCTTACTATAAAAAACAAAATCCAATGTTTATCACCTTTTAGGCTATCTGTTTAATCTATTTAAATCAACCCCTGCCAGTCACAGCTACAAATTACCACGAAAATAAGAAAGATATTACTACTGATCTGTAGACAAAAAGATAATGACAAAGGGTGTTAAAAAAAGAAATTAAAACATGCGTTAATAAAGTAATAAATTCAGTTTTCACCTTATCCAGGGATAACCAAATTCACTGGTTTAAGTCACTGGCTTGATAAATCCATTTAAACTTTACCAAATAAAAATGAAAAAATATGACTGAACTTAAGGCCTATTTCCCATGTCTATTCTTTGTCTTCATCTACATTTCAAAGTAAGTAATACATCATGGGAAATTCATTGAATCATGTCTTGAGATCACGTGTTTTCACATGAATGTTGACCAACTTCTGGAATAATACACTTTTGAAAACAAATTCATTTATTTTTAATCTGAAATTTGCTGCAGTAACACAAGCCTAATTCAGTTTACTAAAAGCGTTTGATGCTGGATCCTTAACAAACTAATAAATGTAGTATTTCAATCTCCACTGAAACAGACCTCCAAATGTTTCTGTGTCCTCCAAATACACAAACTTAGCCCAAATCGAAACACTTTTATCAACAAATGAGGTTTAAAATTTGTTTAAACATTTTCAAACCATGTCGGTTACTCCAAGCATGTGTTTCTAATGCGCCGTGGTGACAAGGCCAGTTGGTGTCTGGCTCACGGCTGGTGTGTAGCAGTGTGTAGCTGCTGGTCAGGTTTCACTGCTACATGTCCTCGCTGCATCCCAACTATGTAGACAGGCAGTGCGTTGTGAGCGGGCACACCACCCATTCCTCTGTCACAACACGCTTCACAGCTACACGTGTACGAGTGAGCTCCTGCAAACATGTCAGACAGGTGATCTCCGCACAACGCTGGATCTGGTTTTACACGCCTCTGGGCTCTGCTGAGAAGAAATACTTTATAATGCCATGCAAATGCTAATGTATTGCTACCCGATTTGAAGACCTACAAGCCAGAAGCAGAATTTACATATAGAAGTTTGTGTGGCGCTTTGTGTTGTGAAGTAAAAGGGTTTTTTCTGCTGTGTTGCCCTATTTCTTTTAATTGAGTGGACAATGGTTGTGTTAATGTAAAATATGAGTTTAAATCTGTGCTGTGCATGTGTTGGCTATTTGCAGTGGTGTAAAGTAACTATGTACATTTACACAAGTACTGTACTTAAGTACAATATTGAGGGACTTGTACTTTACTTGAGTATTTAAATGTAAACTGTTAACATTCAGGTAAATGTGTTACCAATTTGTGTTTGTGATTTGTTGT